CACCACCTTACCGGTACCTCCCTCCCTCCCTCACCTCTCACATTCGCACATCACTTCATCTCACTCATTTCCCTCACCTCTCACATCACTTCATCTCACTCTCCTTTCGCTCATCTCCCTCACCTTTCAGTCACACACCCCTCATCGCTCACTCATTTTCCTCACCTGTCACATTCACACATCTCTCATCTCCCTCAACTCTCAGTCACACAACCCTCATCTCTCACTCATTTTCCTCACCTCTCAGTCACACATCCCTCATCTCTCACACCTACCTCACCACTCACAGGAAACGACCATAGGAAGCTCTCAGTGGGGCCTACCACACCGGACACAAATTATCAGAAAGGGGGGGGGGAATGGTCTTGTTTGCAGCTGGGTTAGTGCGGGTATAAAATAAAATAAAAACCATATAAAACGCTGATGACTAGACTATCAATCCGCAGAATCAATGGCTGACAGTGAACCATAACTCTTTATCGATATTAATGATTTTTTTGTGTGTGTAGATATGAGTTATAATGCCCATAAGATTGTCTATAAACCGAAAAAAAACAGCCCGCGATCAGTGACTTTCATCCATATTGTTCGTATTGAAATTGTACCGCATGGCGAAATTTTCTGAAATATGAAATAAATCTCGACTTTGTTTACACCACCACCCTCCTTCCTTCCTCCCCCTTGCATCGCCACACACGGTTCACATCCCAGGCTGTCGGTCGTAAGGTATTCATTGCTGCTCGTATATTTCAGCTATATATACCGGTATGATGTAGGCTATTTATAACATGTAACATTTTTATTACTGGCGTGAGACAACTAAAACACACACACACGCACCGGCTTCAGCAGGTCGACTCTAATTTGGTCCGAACTGAAAAATTTACTTATTTCTTAAGACTAACATAAACTTACACCCACGGTACCTTAAATAATTTTTGTCCTAATGTAAATACAAATCCATTTCTCCATTCTCACCGTGTGTTTGAGGGGACGTGAACAGTAGTATATAATATTTAAGGAACAAACAGTTACTAATGTTAATTGAGAACCTTTAAAGAAAACCCTATATAAGGCACAAATCACCTGGACTGAGATATAACTATGACCCCCCCTCCCCACCCCTCAGCCAGGTGAATTTTGGTTGCCTGGGTATCACCTGCAAGGTCCACTGTTGATGTAAACAATTCTCTCTCATAGACACACTTATCAACATCTACTGTACTGTATACACAAAGGTTCTAAAAACAGTGCGGTGCCAGATTCAGTTACGTCCCCACACAGGCGCAGGAATTAATTTATCAGGCACCCCCTTTACACTGTGCAAGGCGAGGCTCAAAGGCACTACAGGCACCCAACGGAAGCACACAAAGAACAAGTTTGCCTTTTGGTGCATTGGCATAAACAAAAGTTACCGTGTCAACTTTGAACATTTTGAACAACCTCTTGACAACAAAGTGTAGTGGCCTGGACCTGTTGTGTATATGACCTTGCCAGCCTAATCAATGAGACCTTGTTTCTTACAACAAAAGAATCAGATAAATCAATGTGTCTTCTTTCTGGTTTAACAGGTCACCAGTAATTAAGGAGGTGCCGTGACCCCCAATACTGTTCAGAACGTCAGGCGAATAACATGTGACACATTTCATCATATACATAGGCTACTGGTCGCTCATTCTCCACTATAAAAACCAAGATATTATATTAAAGGCCCAACATACCAAAATTAAAACATAAATTATCATTAATAAAGAAGTAATCGTGTCCTGAGGGAGTGTATTTACAAGCCCCCACCCCCTCCCACACACACACATAAGAGCCACTGTTTCGCTACACCTTGGTCACACACAGTTCGCTGATGTCTATGCTCTCCTATCAGAGTAGACATGAAGGCTCCTGTTCCCGAGTGTATACAGACAGACACAGATACGCACGACGTCGAAACTCATTACAAATTCTTCACCACTTTCAGGACAAACACATACATACGGTACCACCAGACGCGCCCTTAGGAATAAATCTAAGTCACTTTAAGTGAGGCGGTGACGTAAAGTATCCCGTCGACACAATGTGTTCAGCGTACGTAATTAACACCTACTTAAATGTAACTCTTGCCTCACTCAGTCACTTTAATAAGTCGTTTAAATAGTGTGGAGTAATATATTCAACAGAGAATATTTGGCTAAAACTCATAGTGTGTGTGTGTGTGTGTGTGTGTGTGTGTGTGTGTGTGTGTGTGTGTCTCCTCGCTTACATGAGCTAATTAAATGTGTTATCGCACGTCCAGTTAGGAAGAAAAATATGAAAACTTTTTGAGAATCCTTCTTTGTGTCGTAACTTCAGCAAGCCAGTTATACATATATATCACCAACAACAAGATGTGTATACAAGTAACTAAATGTACGACATTTAGCGACTGCAGGTGCGAGGGGTGAGGTAAGTTGAGGGTCGCCTGGGTGTTATGTACGCAGCGATGATACCTTATTTGAGGTGCTCCAGCCTTCCTCGTCCTCCTCCGCCACCTACTGCCCTCACCTGTACACACACACACACACACACATGCGAGCCAGATTACTGTATCTCACTAACGGACAAACAACATTATAGTAGTTTTAGTGTACCGAGATATTTCGACGGCTACGGTCCTTAAGCATCATTAAAAAAATCTTGTTTTTTACACTAGGCAAATAAAAACTTACCAAAGCTGGTCGGATTAATGAACTTCCGGAATGTTACTACAGTAAAGACAAATGACTTGCTGACCATTGAACTCAACACACGGATGGAGGGTTGGATTAATTGATACTCTAATCATTGAATTCACGAGCTAAACAACTGGAATAATATCAGCGTGTGCAGTACGTCTTCAGTGTCTATTAAGGAACTCAACACTATAAATTTAACTTAATTATCCCTATCATATTACAGTTGATGTCTCCACGTGGTTATTTACATATTACAGCTGATGGACACCTTATGGCTACTGGTGTTCAATTGCGTAATATCTTAAGCTCGTGCTGTGATCATGAGATACGGGATTACTACAGCTGATGTTATCACATGGTAATATTTACATGCCAGAGGCAATGTGGTCACGCGATGGGTTTTGGTCCCACTGCAGGTGTGGTGACCATGTGGTACTATTTGTGTTTGTTTATATTTACACGATCACTGTTAACGTTAATCAGCTTTCGTCATTCATACAATTCTCATAATTTTCTGATAACGGAAAAGTAAAATCACTTTAGGGTAAATTTTACACAAACGTCGAAATAATGAACAGTCTCAGTACAGTACCGATAGTTACACACACAAACTGATGATTTACAGGGGCACAGGAACTTGTATAATAATACTAAAAAAATATTCTTACTGTCAATCCATCAAACACATAAACTAACTCGCCATATCGCAATCACTCGGCCATATACAGTATAAAGTAACTCCACCAAGACTAAATAAAGTCAACCGCACCAAACTAAACACAACCAAATTAACGAAACGAACTAACGAAAACTAAATCAACTTGTGAAATCTATATTAACGAATCTTGAATTAACCAAATCTAAGCTTAAATTGTCAACCGAACCTAAACAAACCCAACCAAACTATTTCTGGTTGTTAAACTGCAAAATGTAATTAGTGAGAATTGCTTAGGTACTTGTTACTGCTTGACGAATGACAAAAAAAAAATTTAAGGCTAGTCCCGAACACAGGGGCGTTTTTGGGTTTAAGTGTCTATCGATACTTGGCCTGCTATCTTGGCGTCGCTCCCGGTCCCCAGTTTCCTTGCTTCAATATCGATTAGGTTAAGACTACGGACGAGGAAACACGGAGTCGGGAACAAATACCCGTGCACTCCTGCATGCCCATAGGTTTAGGATCACCTGAAGATTCGTCCTCCCCAACTTATTTCACCTTTAGATTAACCATCCTAACTTTATATCGGGGTTAGGTTATGTTGTCGTTAAGGTGGTTAATCTTCAAGTGAAATAAACTGGCGGCGAACCTTCAGGTGATCCATGTCAGGGTTCCGTTGAGGAAGCCGTAACCACTCACTGCCGCTTCTTGTGAAATCAGATAATGTACCTTGCTAGGTTCAGTTAAGGCAAGTGTGGGATTAGATTACGGTGGGTTAGGTTAATATAATGTTAGGGTGATAGCTGTGTTAAGATGATTGAGTGGGTGCTAGGAGATAAAAAAAAAAAAACTATGCAGTATAATGTTTTCGTTTGCAAATTCCTGTATTTCGAGTTATTTTTACTTTTCAATTTTACCGAAAAAAAAATGATCGCACACGGTGGGTAATGTTTTGAAGTAGAGAAAATTTGGGGGATAAAAACAGCCAAAAACACTGACTATACCTAACGAAACCTTACCTTTCTTGTGGCGATTTTGCGTCGTTTTATGAAAAAACAGACGTGTTTATCTTCATGATAATGATAGTCTGCACCACACTTTGGACGCTTCTCGGAAGTTTGCAGAATAACAAAGGCCTTAAAAATGTCAATTTCAGTGGCGTTATTTACAAAAACACCATGAATGGTTTGCAATTCTGAAACCTTTCGCAGATAAACCACCTTGTGACTGACAAATTCCAACTCTTGAACATGCACAGGAGTAACATGACACCGAAGCTTCCGCTGATTGGCTGACTACCTGTACAACTGGAAAAGTATAAATTTGTGATAAAAACGCTATCGGTTTTTTTTTTTTGCTCTATCTCCCAATATATAAATCATTATGGAGTTCCGTGGTTGTCCTCTACCGAATCTTAGCCATATAAAATAGATTGGTATAAGGGGAAGATGCGTAGGGGTTAGGTTAAGATACATACTGTAGGAAGGTGTTAAAATAAGTTAAGCAGATGCTAAGTCATGATAGGAGCGAGTCATATTTGGTTATGTAAGGTTAAGTCCTTCATTAAGTTTGGTGTTGGGTCAGGTTTGGATATGTGGGGGTTTTCTCCTTAACTCATATCATAACATTTTCACACTTACCTATGGTCTTAACAATGTCGAAGTCGTGCAGGGAGTACTCCCTTGGGGAAGGTACACCGTTGGTGGAAGGCGAGGGCGGCTCTTTCTGCATGCCCACTCGCCGCCGGCCGCCCACACGCCCACCAGACATCATGGTGGTGGCAGACAACCCCTCTACCTTGAGCTGCGCCACCTTGCCGCTGTTACTTGGCTCCTGACGACTACTGAGCCCTCACGAGGCCGACTCAAGGCCCGAGGTTGTAAGACCAGTCACTTAGGCCTAGCACAAAGGTCACCAACCTCGCCACAACACTTGGCACTGTTAACAGCTGTGAGTCAAGAGGACGATGATCACTGCTGGATTAACGAGGTATTGACAGTTTTACCCCCGCCACACATACAGTACACACACCGGTTAATAGTGACAATTTTATTCAACAAACTGCATCAGTTGAGGTGACAAAGTACAACACTCGGTAAGCAATAGGTTGTATTAGTACACTTGGGTGGATCACAGTGGGAACAGTATGTCGAGCAAGTTCTACTGCCCAGGTGTGGTTCTGCCTCACAAGGCTGGGCGAAGGTCACGAGGCTGTGTATGTCTGGTGGTCACATTAGCGCATGTTACACTCTGGGGACACTGCACTTGCTGGGTGTCCCACGCCACACACTGGATGTCCCACCCCACGTAAGTGTGGGTACACAATAGGCGATGTTCACCACATACTACGTTTATCATTAGGTTGGCAGGACCTCCGACCCCGTCACCCCGATACAGTCAGACAGGGCAGCCAGGCAGGCCAGAGTGGATGATGTGATGACACCACCTCACACACCTGCCCTTCACACCACCACCACTACCGTCACACACCTCCCCACCACACACCACATATCCGGAATTCCAACTGGTGGCAGGGGTCACCCAGATTTCCCTCTCACACCCCCGGGATGGTAACTTGTCGACCAGTCTCAACGCTGTAGAACTTCCCCGGGTGAGCGTGGGGGGCACTGGGTCAAGTCCAGGGTAATAGGATCGCCCTTGGCAGCCTCACACTGACCTGGCCATTTAATAGGGAATTTAAACAGTGGACGGAGACGTCGGGCGGCAAGTGGCCACCACTCACTAGTCACCTGCGGTAATGTCAACGATCTCGAGAACCTACACTGATCCAAACACCTGTCATAACTCTCACAATAATTCGTCTCACCCATTAGGGTAGCATTTTTATGGCGTAATATATTGACAGCACACGTGGGATGCACAATGAAAAGCAAGCACACAAGATGGACTGAGCCCGGCAAGGCAACGTATCCTCTCTCCCCTGCTGCCACAGCCACACTGATGATGGCGGCGGCTCCGGAGCCTCCGTGGCAGCAACTTTCGAGCTGGACTCTCACCACTACCGCTCTCACCCTCCCTCCCTTCACCACGTTCACATGTTACGCACACACGCGTGATATCCAAGTTCTGTTAGAACACGAATATCTACGTCTGTCAACAGCTCTGAGGTAATAAGGCATTAATCATCAACTATGTCGAAAAGTAAACAGCAGACGTTGCCACACTGCACCATACGCGACGGTGATGATGGAGGTGATCACCGCGGTGCAGGGAGGCATTGTTATTATTTTTCAGCGCGTGGAAAATTAAATGCTATTGATTCCGACGATTTAATATTTATTTTTAAGTGAAACACATTCTACCTTGATTTTGACTGGTGTAATACAATTGACAACAACCACAACATGTGATCTATTATGATTTTAGAAGGGGTATTAAAATCTAACTTGCTCCACGATGTCAATGTGAATTATATTAATATGCATGCGTTGGGGGATTTTCTATTTTTTTATGAAATAAGGGTACCTTTGGGATATGTAGGACACAGTTTTAACGATAAATTCAGCACTTTATGGGTCATGAAATTTTAGTTATTTATAAATGTTATTGTTGTGCCATAAGTAAAACCAGTTAGATGCATTCTTTCATCTTCACTCATGGGGAAAGACAAAATATCAGTTACTATCAGTATAAAATGTTTCATGACTGAACTCATTATTAATCAACCGTTCACTTACTGAACCAAGTCGAATGAAATCATGACTATTCTCCAGAATATTGGTTTATCTGATTTGGGTGTCATGTAATTTGGCATATTTCTTTTTATGCGTTTAACAAAGTTTGTAGTTCTAAATCTCCTGTCACACAGTATTGACCGTCTGGATGTAATTAGAAAATCATTTATTAGCTGTCGCCTCCACCACGAATTTTAGCTCTATTTAGATATGTTGCACCTAACAAGCACAGAACGTACTTAAAAAAAAATAGCTTGCAAGCTTCGTTAGCACACTTCCTCCCCTTAATTACGTGAACGTTTATAACCTGTCAACACTGATAAGGTTTACAGCTCCGCAAGGTCGTTTCATAAGAAAAGGTGACAAAACTATTGATGTATTATTCGCCGATGGCATATACTGTGTTTGTATACAGGGGCAGATCCTGGAATATCAAAAGGGGGAGTCTAAGAAGTTGTGGGTGGGGGAACAGGGGGAGCCCGCCGAGCTAGTTTTTTTGTGGGGGTTTGAAGCCATGTACACTTGATATTAGGAGATATTGTGTGCCTATCAAACATTTAATCAGTCAGAGTCGTTTGCCAATGCGTAACTTGAGAACCAGTTTCAAGAAGCCAAATTTATTGTCATATGCAGTGGTATTTTTTAACTAGATATTTTAACTGCCATTGCCAGAGAGCAACATTCACGATGTGTATATTATATAACTAACAAAATGTTAAGAAAGGCGTGTCTTTGGGCAATGATGGTACGTTAGTACGAAATTTTAAGTACTGTACAAAACTGGAAACCTACGATGCTGACTACTGTGAACTTCCCTATTTTCAATATACGGTACTGTAGCCTGTCCTCACAACATGCAATACAGGTATACCTACATTTGCTATAACAATCCGGTATTATACTTTGTACAGTATACTGTATACTGTAAATGTACATATAAATGGCAATGAAATCGTCAATACATTTATGCTGACGATATAGTTAAGGTTAGTCAAGTTATTTTGCTTAGGTTAATTTTTTAGCAGTCTGATCTGTACACAATTTTACATATTGCAATATGCACATATTTAAGGTTTCTGTCCATTTTAATGTACTACAGTATTTGTAAGTGCATTCTAAGCTTGTAGTCTATAGACAAGTGTAGAGCTATGACAGATCTAATTAGCTGCAACAATAAAACCTTATCCCAATATTCCGCATCAGAAAAAAATTAATACTGAAAATCCCAGCAGCTCAAATTCCCTAAGTCTCAATACATTGTTGGGTTGTGTCCTTGAATAATTCCTAGGTAGAACTTATAAAAGTCCCCTGATCAGTGGTATTAGTCCCCCTGTATGAGTATTTCTTGAAGTAAAATTCACCCACTTATTGCATAGCACTGAAGACTGAGTTTGCTACAAAACCTGGTCAGGTGGAGACCCAGAGTGGTTCATGTTTGGTTGGTACATGGTAATGTGAGCCTTCTTAGCCCTGCAGTTTGGCACTCTCAATATGAAAGTGAGTTGTGTGTTGAACTTGAAAATTATTGCTTGACTCACACTAATTGCATTGATAAAGTTCCACCCACAAGACAAACCCCTCACTGAGTAAAATCCTGCCCAAACATTTTGCTCTGGTATAAATACCATTAGATAATCTCTCATTGTAGACGAATGCATCATGCAATTTCTCACTGGATTCTATCTCACCAATTAATTTCTTATTTAATAAAATTACTATTTTTTAATTATAAAAATCTCACCACCTAAGTTCCCACTGAATAAAATCCGAAGACTGTTAAGACATGTTCTCATTGCATAAAACTGGACCAAGAGATGCATGTGTCTAATTGTGGAGGAGAGGGGTGATAAGGGCAGGCCAAGAATGACATTGTAAGAAATGATCATTAAAGTTAAGAACTTGATGAAAGAGGCTGCAAGAGACCATGCGCATTAATAGCTGTCGTCCCATAACTGCTGCTAAACCCATGCAGTGTGGAAATGGGCCATAAAATGTTGATGCTAAAATCCCTTCAAACAGTGTCTCATAAGACAAAATCAAACCACAAATAATAAGCTGCACAAAATCCAACCAATTTAAACTTTTCAATTGTAATAACCATTTAGTTCTCAACCCTTTGAACACACCGACATTATATTCAAGGAAATAGCATTGCATTCAGATGGTTAAGGCATCATATTAAGGGATTAAGTCACTATATTTAGATTACAGGTGCTTCTCTACTTAAGAACGTTCAACTTCCAAACTTTCAGAGATACAAACATCATCACTGAAGGGGGTTACCTGCCAGAACAGGTGTTTAATGTGGATGAGACTGGATTATTTTGAAGAAAATTCCAGATTGAACAAACATTACCTTAGAGGAGAAGAGTGAGCCAGGTTTTAAGGCTGTATCAAAGGGTATAGCTGTACTACATAGCCATAATCTTTTCATTTTTTACAATATGTTTGGTATCTACATGAGTAAAGTTAGTTTCAAGTCATTTCTGAAATCTTTCTTTAAATTCTTTTTTTCAACTTTCTCTCATGGGACTTGTTTAATCTTGGATGTACTATATGGTCATATTCAGCCTTAGAAGAACCATAACAACCTGAGTTGGTCCAGCAATTATAGTCAGTTCTTGTCATCCAAACAGACCAAATGTCCTTCCTCTTAAGTGATAAAAGTGAACTAACCCAGGAGCCCATCTCTCTAAAGTGTCACAATAGCACTAATCCAGACACCTGTCTCTTACTTCTGGTTATTCTTAACAAAGACTTTCCAGGCATTCATTTGTTTATAAAATATTCATCAGAACTAAAATAATCAGACTACTGACTTGATTAAAGATGGAAAAGTCAGAACCTTGTAACTACAGTATTTACATTTTGAACCTCTCAGTAGTTTCCTGAAGGTCTAAGCAGCATTACCCATGCTTTTAACTCTGACAAGTTTTTCTTGGTCTTACACAGGGTAGCCAGACAATCCTCCATGGAGGTAAAAAATTGAACCCACCACTATTCAAATTAACCAAAGGAATGGAGTCGCTGCCAGTTTTATACAAAAGATACAGTACTCTTTTGTTTCACATAAGAGTACAGTAGTGTATTTTGCTTTTTCCTAAGCAGTCCAAGTCAAGAGTGGTATATCACTTTTGAGTGGCCATGCCAGGAATATTGAATTAAATTAATTTTTAAATAAGGGCATACTGAAATTTCAAGGTGAAATGACAGTTCACCTTGAAATTACAGAATTAGTTCTGGCTGTGAAAATGATATACGTACTTAACATGTTTTTTTCTGGTTCATTAGTTAAGACACTAACAATTGCGTGCCAAAAGAAATTCTTCTAAAAGCAAACTAGAATACAAAAGTGGGTGGAAAAGGTTGTAATTACTTCCAAGGGTAATTCACACGAGTGCTTACTCAACAAGATGTAAAAAAATATACAGGCAATAAAAAACAACTACTCCATGTTCTCTCGTGTGCAATGAATTTTTCAGTCAGAATTATAAAATTTTAAGGCTCTGCATTTAATGGGTTTTAATATCTGTGCAACCCATTCAATACTCAAGAGTCCAAAGAATCAAACTTTAAAAGTCATGGACCATCACCTTTTAATTCTTAAATATGGGCAATGATATGGCTGAGCATAAATACAAATGGGTGTAAAAACATTGGGCTTTACAATCATTTGGCATCTAGTCAAATACAGTCAAGTTATTTCAAGATGGTTCAATGGGTCCTGATGTTCCCAAACAATCAAGTTAAGCAGTGATATATGATGATTTATGTCCCACAGTATCAGCACACAACTTCTCCCACCACAAGAAACATTGTCAATATACTGACCTCACCCAGTCTGACCAAGAACATCTTAACACTGCTGCTATTCCATATTGACCTGGAACAACTTACATTACCCAGTGTATGGCCCAGGCAGTAGTAGCAGTCACCACATTGATGTAAGATGAATTGGATTCACTGTGACCCTGGTAATAGTTATACTGTACAAGGTATTTCTACATCAAAATGATCCAAGTGGTCATTGTGAATTTGCATCCCGATGAGCTTGCCAGACACACAGGGTTTTACTACCATGTCTGGAGAAACAATTATTGAGAAAGAATAACACAGCCAGATCAATCTTTTTATTTTCACTTATAGTATTTCTTTTTCAGTGAGGGTTTGTGCATTACCCTTGAGCAACTAAAATAAAATAAAAATATTCTTAAAGAATCATATCACATCCTGTGAGTGTCACAGCTTTAATTAATAAGAAAAGTACAGTACAGT